TCTGGAGATATTCCAGCCCCGCCTGGCCGCGGTGCTGTGCAGCCTGCTGTGGGTGACCCTGCTTGGGCAGGGGGTTGGGCTGGGGGGTCCCCAGAGGTCCCTGCCAACCCCCAACATTCTGTGATTCTGTGAAAATGTGACTTTGAATCTTCGGTGCTAACATAGTTCATGAAATGGTAACAAACGAGTAGGAAGGGTGGAGGTGGACAAAGAGTTCATGAAGCTCTGGGCTTTGATCGCGTTAGATGTGTGTGATTGTATTGAATTATAGGCCCTGTAGGTGGTTTATGTTTTAGCATTGCAGAAGTGGGAGTAACAGAAGCTTGAAGAGTTGTTAATGCTTTGCATGTGGTTTAAGGATGTTTCAAAATAATGCTTTGTTCTAGAAGTTACAGTTTGTAGAACATCTCAGCACCGGAACTTCTCAGTGTTAAAATCATTAGATGATTTAAAACACGAGTTCCTTGTGTCCTCCCAGACCTGTATCCCGTGAACACGACCATCATAACTCACTGTTTCAAATAACTTCACGTTCTTGAAGCAGCTATAACAAGGTCGTTTGGGTTTGCTCGGTAATTAAAACTGGCTGAACTGCCCTGTGAGGAAACATCTGATTCCTGCGTGCAGAGCCCAGGCAGAGATGTTGGGGTGCTGACACAGGTTGCCTTCGGGCCAGACTCTCCTCTTCATCTGCATCTCTTGGCTTTTGTAGCCCCCTGCTCCTCCCCAGTGCTCACTGGCTGCACAACCAGTTGTTTCTCTGCTCGAGCAGAACTTATTTCCCTCCTACGTGGCAAGGGGGGAGTGGGGGGGATGCAATTTCTTGTTCTTGGTTTGGAGGTTGGTTTTGCCCTTTTTTGGGATGGCTGGAGAACAGTTACGAGCGTTATCTAAATCTTTGGCAAGATGCAAACAAGACCCTAACTGAAGAAATTGGACAGCTTGCTTGCCTTGGTGGAGAAGGTGATGTCTTCCAGCTTTCCTACCTGTCCTTTGCTACCAGGAGGGGAAGGGCTGTCAAGCTCTTCAGTTTCAGACAGTTTTGATTTACTGCAGGCTGGTTTTAGGATTGGATCCTGTGATGTCTTCATTTGCTCAGTCTGTTTTTCCCTGAGGTCGTAAGGGTACCTATTCCTCCCGTTAGATTTCTTCAAGATTTGTAACTGTTGGAAGAAAAATATAATAAAGCTTAATGTGCTTGCTGTATTGAGGCTATAGAATAACTGAGGTGTTACAGGGTCCCAATATGGGGGTGTCGGGGGGTCTTCCAGCGCAGGGCTTTGAGTATCATGTGAAGGTTTTGGGGTGAGGGGGCTGCTGTCTGAAAGGCAGCGAGAGGTCTGTGTCCCTGGCTCCAAATACGACTGCAAATAGCTTTGTTTTCCTGAGGGAGAAGAGTAGCTTTCATGGATCAGGCTTTTCAGCCCCCGCTTGTTAATTTATTTATGGTAAAAGGCACGAATGTGTTCCGACAGCACGGTCTCTGCTACCGAGATTGCCCTTCCCCAGTCAGAAGAGCTTTCATCAGATGTACCCTCAGCCAGTTTGCTGATGACACCAAACTGGGAGGAGTGGTAGACACACCAGCAGGCTGTGCTGCCATTCAGCGTGACCTGGGCAGGCTGGAGAGTTGGGCAGAGAGGAACCTGATGAGGTTCAACAAGGGCAAGGGCAGGGTCCTGCGCCTGGGGAGGAACAACCCCAGGCACCAGTACAGGCTGGGGCTGACCTGCTGGAGAGCAGCTCTGTGGAGAGGGACTGGGAGTGCTGGGGGACGACA